GATGCCTGCGCCCTGTAGTCTGAGCCTCGGCACGGATTGGCGTACCGGTCGGCCGAGGCTCGGACTCGATAGCCGGGCCAGGTACTGGTGGTTCCCTTCCCATGCAAAAACAAGAAGCCCGGGGGTTCAAGGGCCTCGCGCGCCGGCCAGATACATCCCGTATCATTGGCGCCGAGGGCCCACGGCCAATATATGGGAAAGGTACTGAAGGTGTAAAAGGCCAATCACAAAAGTCAATCGGTTCACTGTGTGCCACTATGTCATCACAATTCAGAAACATCTCCTACGGGACACTGGACCCAGTTTCCAGCAGGGGGGGAAGCTCTCCACCCATAGATGGAGCCTCCACCACAGGGATCACTTTGGGAGGAGGCGCTTATCACCTCCATAAGTCGTTTCCTGACCGGAGTTCTGTTGGAAAAAAAAGAAGACCCCCTGTCGTTTTGGTGAGCAGTGCAGCGGTGTTTCCTCCCTTGAAACCCAAGTCACCTCTACTGGCTCCCTTGAGGTTGAGGTCGAATTTTTAATTTTTTTCTTGAAAAGGAGGGGCCTTTCGGGTCCTTATTACTCGTGCCGGGAAACGGGCCCGGCGTCCCATTACATCCGAGGGCAGCCCAGGCCATGGGTGAGACTCACGGGCCAAGCTCAGGGCACAGCCGCACATGAAAACAAGAAAGAGAACGCTGAAATCGAGTTATTGCTAGCTGGCTGACTTAGAAAGCGATAAAGATGCTACAACCAAAAATCAAACCTTTTTTCTTTTTTCTTTTTTCTTTTTTCTTTTTTCTTTTTTCTTTTTTCTTTTTTTTTTTTGAAACCGGGGGGTGCTAGGTGTGCTGGTACGAGCAGACACACCTAGCACCTCCAGTGGGACTCCATCTATTGGTGGGGAGCATCACCTGCTGGAAACCGGGTCCAGCGTCCCATTTGGTACATCATTATAAAGAAGTGATCCTTTGGAACTGAATGTTGGGTCCAGCAACCCTCCCTATTTAAGAAGATAACGGGGGCCGGACGCCACCCTGGCATGAACCTAAGATTATCTTTTTCCTACTGCTTATAACCTGAAAATGGAAAACCTGCTGAGAAGGAGAAAGACCTCTTCACCCAGAACAAGGCGCCAGATGTTTTCTTCCTTTTCT